TATTTATTTAATTTATATGCCGCCCACACTACCCAAAGGTCTCTGGGCGGCTTACAGCATTTAAATTAGATTCTCTGAATTAGCAAACTTTGTGAAAGATTTCCATTTGTTGTTATAGAGTCTCAATCTATAATATCTAGGATATGTTGGAAGGTGGGAATAATCTCCACGCTGTCAGTTTCAGAGAGTGGATGTCAGGATGGAGTATCGACCCGCTGCTCTGGGACAGGAGGTTCAGTATGGACGGAAGATAGAATATGCCCATTGCCATCAACCTGAAGTGGGTGAACCACAGCTATCGTGGCCACCATGGAGCAATGACTATGGCGTTTGCTTGATATTGTCTTATTTGAATGACAGATTTTTGGATTAACAGTATCGGGGGAAACATGTACAGAAATTCCCCTGTCCAGTCTATCATGAAGGCATTTCCCATAGATCTGGGATCAATGCCGGCTCTGGAGCAGTACTGTATCTGAGACATTTGGTATTTTGCTTTGTAGCAAAAAGGTCTATGGATGGGTGTTCCCATCGATGGCAAATAGATTGGAATATTTGATTGTCAATGTCCATTCCTGTGTCCAAGTGGGTAGTCGGCTTAGATAATCCGCTATGTAATTTTTGCTCTGTCAATATATGAATAGCTACTGGGAATATGTGGTGGAGATAATACCATTCCCATAGATCCTCTGTGAGGTTCAGAAGGGAGAGTGAATGTGTGCCTCCCTGTTTGTTTACATGGTACATAGCCGTGGTGTTGTCCGTAGCTAGTTGAATGGCTTGTCCTTCAACGCATGGTAAGAAAGCCCGGAATCGTGGAAAAAAGGAACTGAGGGGAAGATTGGAGGGTGGAGCTTGCGCTCTAAGAGGGGCTGTCTCATTGTCAAATCTTTTTGAAGCTCTAGAAACGTCCAAAAAGTCCTGCATAGGCTTAGAAGAAACCCTCTTGTGTGCATCCACAGAGGCCACGAAGAAGAAATTTGGTTATGTGGTGTTTTAAAAATCGCTAAAACATGAATGCTACCAATTGGGAATTGAAGTCCATAGGATTTTTCATATTCCATCCTAACAGCATATGATATGAATCTCATACAACGTCAGGGCACATAATACTACACATTCTCTAGACTTACTGGCTTTGCAGATGGCTGAAATCCTGTAAGTTGAATTCTCTGCTTTCTTGACCATGATAAATATTATCAACATCCTGTAATACACAATAATATATTATTGGGTGGGGACAAACCCTAATTTTTGGGACGCAGCCAAAATAAAAAATAATTTCCTGGTGCCTTAGGATGATGACTATTTTGGCATGTTAGGAGCAAATTATTTTTCTCTCCAGTGCATCTTACTGGGTATTCCCTGAGGTAGACAGAAAAAGAGTGAAAACACACAACAGTTTTTTTTGGTACATTGGTCATATACATTGTGAAACATCAAATTCTCAGTACAAATTGTAATACAATATACCCTAACAAAAACCAGCTAGAGAATACGCTGCCAGCTCTGTATTCAACAAATATTCTTACTTTAGTTTCTTATGGATTCTGTTGGTTTGTCTTACCCATTGAATCTCCTCCTGTATAGGGAGGCTGGTGTAATCGCAGAGAGCAGCATATGTCTCTGAAAATCCACCTGTAAACATGAGATGCAGTTAACAGAAAAAAACTTTCAAGACTGAACATCAATCTATATAGCTCAGAAAAAAAGGCAGATTACTGTAGTTAATAGCACTAAATGAGACAACCAACAAAATCACATTCATTGAAAGGGTTTAATGCAATAACTTCTTCAGGTATAGTTCAGAAAAATTATAAATGAATGTCGTAAGCATTGCCATAACATCTGCTAGAATTGCCATGAATTCAGATTCTATGTGGATCATTTAAGATTTGTTTTCGTTTAGTCATTTAGTCGTGTCCGACTCTTCGTGACCCCATGGACCAGAGCATGCCAGGCCCTCCTATCTTTCACTGCCTCCTGTAGTTCTGTCAATTTCATGTTGGTTGCTTCAATGACACTGTCCAGCCATCTCATCCTCTGTCGTCCCCTTCTCATCTTGCCGTCATACTTTCCTAACATGCAAGGAGTCTTCTCTTCTCATGAGATGACCAAAGTACTGGAGCCTCAGCTTCAGGATCTGTCCTTCCAGTGAGCACTCAGGGTTGATTTCCTTTAGAATTGATAGGTTTGTTCTCCTTGCAGTCCAGGGGACTCTCAAGAGCCTCCTCCAGCACTACAATTCAAAACCATCAATTCTTCAGGAGTCAGCTTTCTTTATGATCCAGCTCTCCCTTCCATACGTCACGACAGGAAAAACCATAGCGTTGACTATTCGTACTTTTGTTGGCAAGGTGATGTCTCTGCTTTTTAAGATGCTGTCAAGGTTTGTCATCGCTTTCCTCCCAAGAAGCAGGCGTCTTTTAATTTTGTGGCTGCTGTCTCCATCTGCAGTGATCATGGAGCCCAAGAAAGTAAAATCTGTCATTGCCTCCATATCTTCCATATCTTCATTTAAGATTGGCTAATCTTAAATGATCCAACTAGACTCTTCCATGCCAACAATGTTATCTACATAAATTGCCTTTAACTTAGGTTAAAGGCATTTGTAAACTCTCATAGTTTACAAATGGTATCAAAGTAAAATCTACATATTGGTCTGATAAGCCAATATGTAGGGGCCTTGGCCATATTGGTCTTTTATCTTTACATCTGATGGCAGCTGCAAACTCCAGTCCATAAAACTCAAAACCAGGTCATGTTTCAAGCACTACTCTATTTCCAAAGGGTCTGGCCCTAGTCATAAATAAAATAAAATAAAATAAATCAAGACTCTTGAGTTGTCACCAGATCTGTTGGGCTCAATCCCAGGTATTCCTCATAATCAAAAATAAAGTCTTGGATATTAATGGGTAAACGCTGCATGGTACTGCACTAAAGATTTGCTCTCCGCTATACTTCCAGCTCCACTTCTAAGTCAAAGCAGAAGTCCCCTTCTAAGTGGGCCAAAAGTGGGTCAAAGCATGGCTAACAACAAGGCCAGTGGAAGTGATGGCATTCCAGTTGAACTACTTTTTAAAAAAGAGAATGCTGTTAAGGTGCTACACTAAATATGCCAGCAGGTTTGGAAAACTCAGCAGTGGCCAGAGGATTGGAAAAGATCAGTCTACATCCCAATCCCAAAGAAGAGCAGTGCCAAAGAATGCTCCAACGCATTTCACACGCTAGCAAGGTTATGCTCAAAATCCTCCAAGGTAGGCTTCAGCAGTATGTGGAGCGAGAATTCCCAGAAGTACAAGCTGGATTTCGAAGGGGCAGAGGAACCAGAGACCAAATTGCTAACATGCACTGGATTATGGAGAAAGCCAGAGAGATCCAGAAAAACATCTACTTCTGCTTCATTGACTATGCAAAAGGCTTTGACTGTGTGGACCACAGGAAACTATGGCGAGTTCTTGAAGAAATGGGAGTGCCTGTCCACCTTATCTATCTCCTGAGAAATCTATAAGTGAGACAGGAAGCAACAGTTAGAACTGGATATGGAACAACTGATTCGTTCAAAATTGGGAAAGGAGTCGGACAAGGCTGTATATTATCTCCCTGCTTATTTCCCTTACATGAAGAATACATCATGCAAAAGGCCGGACTGGAGGAATCCCAAACTGGAATTAAGATTGGCGGAAGAAATATCAACAACCTCAGGTATGCAGATGATACCACCCTGATGGCAGAAAGTGAGGAGGAATTTAAGAACCTCTTAATGAGGAAGAGGAGAGCGCAAAAAATGGTCTGAAACTCAACATCAAAAAGACTAAGATCATGGCCACTGGTTCCATCACCTCCTGGAAAATAGAAGGGGAAGATATGGAGGCAGATGTGGAGATTTTACTTTCCTGGGCTCGATGATCACTGCAGATGGTGACAGCAGCCACAAAATTAAAAGACGCCTGCTTCTTG